GTGGGGAATTGCAGTCAATGTCATGAAACCAAACGTGTATGAACTGCTTATGGAAAATAAATTTGCTCTGTAAACTTTCACCCAAATCACATTAAAAAAATCCTGTCAAGAGAAGCTGAACCTTTGTAGTCCACAGGTACCCATATCAGTATGTTAACTTTATCAATTGCGTGTTTTAGGAATCATAAAGCAAGACCCTAAACTGCCAGTGGACAGAATCTTACCCCCACCTTCTCCCTGGCCTAAGAGCTCCATTTTTGATGCTGATGAAGAAAAGTCAAAGGTGAGAAACTCTTCTCTGACCTTGGTGAACTACCTGTAATCTGATCAGACTTCCTCTTAGAAATTGGATTCCAGTTGTCCCCTGGAAGGGCCTCTGATCCCTGCACTGGAGTGTGGGAGAGGTGGTTAGCGAGTTCCCCTCTGCAGAGCGGGTTCTTGGGAGTGAGGTAGCATAAGACCCGGAAGGGCCAAACACGGTGTCCTTGTATTAACCTTCCTCCTCATGTGTGCAGGTGTTCCTGGGGGAAAAGAAGGGCAAAGAATAACTCGGGGCAGGTGTGGGCAATGTGGGATGAGTGGCCATATCCAGCGTGTGTGTGGGATTGAGGTGGGCACTGCAGAGAGGGGAGAAGTGGGTGTCTGTTGGCTCCGCTCATTTTTAGTGCCGGGAAGCCTGGCCCCACCCATTTGCCTTCCACTGCTTTCTCCCAGAATTACCGTTTCCCAGACATGAGTGAGGAGAGTGGGGAAAGGGAAGGTGTCAACACGTAGGCTGAGACCCACGGACAGCGGAAGTGCTTGCGGGCAGGAAAAGGCTCTTTTGTACTGGGGATCACAGTGCTTTTAGCCGTTGATATTCTTGGTCAGTCACCAGGTCTGGGAAGGGTAGGGTCAGGCGAGTTCCAAGGCACGTGTGTGTTCCTGTCTGGGGTGCTCTGCCTTCCAGATGCACCCCCCTGGGCACCCTTCCCTTGGGCCCAGGGGCTCGGTGCCCGTGTGGGCACTGAGCAGGATCAGCAGCTTTCTCCTAGACCCTGAGCTGCCGTCCCCTGGGACTCCTCTCCTCCGTGGTGTTTTACAGTTGCACAGGGTCGGGGACCTAGCGAGGTGCATGGAAAGATAGAATCCTCCATCACCTCAGGCAGGTTACAGAAACTCACCGAAACTCATTCTCCCTGTTTTACCAGCCATCTCAACAAAGATCAAGTGGCTTCTATGTGCCAGGTATTCTGCTAGGAATAAAGTTACACAGAGGACACGGGGGTGACATCCTCTGACCTCCTCCAACCTCATGAGGGGGAAAGACAATCACCGTCAGCAGCCCAAGGCTTATTCCTATAAGACCAGACATGCTGCCACCCTCCAGCCTTTTACCAACTCTGACAACAACCGCCCCCCCCACACACACACACAGCACTCACTACTTCTATTCTAGGTTCAATACATCATTGCAGTGGCCGCACAGAACTCACAGACCATAGTCATGATTATGGGGTTTATTAGGGAAGTAACAGGTTACAGTTCAGGTTCAGAAACTCTCAGCATATGGTTCTTCAATCAGGACAGCTTCCCCTCTGTCACTCGTGACGGTGTGCCTCTCTTTAGCCCTAAGCCCCTCAGCCTGGCCTCTGTCCTGACTCAGGCAAGTGTTACAGGGCTCTTCTAGCTCTGCTCATAGGTGCACCTGGGTGTGCTCCACCCTGCCAGCAAGCCTCATGGCCAAAGGCACTCACTTTCTTGCTCTGTGAGCCGGCAAGCTTGCCGCTGTCTTGTGCCGGTCTTTCACTTTTGCTGCTGCCATCTCTCTGCTTTCATCTCAGTGCAGGGATCTCGGGTCCAAGGACACATTCTACTCCAGCTTCTCTCTCCTGATGGCAGTGAGACCTCTCTTTTTTGCATTCAGATGGCATTCCCCACATCAGAATTCCATGCACCTTATTTGGATGTTCCCACCCCTACAAGGGCTCCATATACTCTATTTACATCACTAACAAGCTATCCAGTCCCCTTGGTTGGGCCACAAACACTGTGCATTTGCGTAGTTCCATCCAGTAATCTGATGGGAGTCACAAAGACTGGGCTAGATGAGCCACACTAATTCAGTGCACCCCAGAAGTGATGGGCAGGGTTACCTGTGTGCATCACATCATAGCGTCTCTGGTCTCTGGTAGCCTCATCACTGTCTGTCATTTGGGGCCAGGAAATTCCCTGTTGTGAAGGACTGCCCTTTGCATTGTAGGATGTTTACCATGTGCCTGGCCTCTGTGCATTAGATGGCCTGTGGCACCCCCTCCCTCCGAGTGTGACTACCAAAAATATCTCAAACCCACTGCTATCCAGTCAATTCCAATCCATAGCAACCCTGTAGAACAGAGTAGAACTGCCTTATAGGGTTTCGAGGCTGTAATTCTTTGTGGGAGTAGACTGCCACATCTTTCTGCCATGGATTAGCTAGTGGGTTGGAACTGCTGTTAGCAGGTGAGCACCTAAGCACTGCACCACCAGAGCTCCTTAAACATGCCCACTGTCCCTTGGGGGATGTAATCCTCCCGTCCACATATGCACCCTGTTGAAAACTGCTGGTGTGTGGGAATAGTCCTACCCCTGATGTCACGGTGCCATTTGAGGATTTGGTGAGATGCATGTAAAGTGCGTGTGCTGTTACTATTGGTATGAGTTCTCTTGCTGCTGTTACCACTCTGGGCCATTTGACACAGGGAATTCAGCTTTTGTTCACGCTCTTCAGCTCCTGACAAGGCTCCTGAAGAGCAACCACCCTGAGGACCTTCAGGCTGCAAACCGGCTGATCAAGAATCTGGTCAAGGAGGTAGGCACTTGCCAGCTGGCTCTGCAGGAGAGCACGTGACCAGGGCTGAAGGACAGTGTGCATGTGCTTGAGGGTGTGGAGGAACAGTGGCTACAAGAAGGGCTGGCCTCCTAGTCTGGAACTGGGGAACAGCTGTGGCCTCCTCAGAAGGCAGCCAGATGGTGGCTAGAAGCAGGAACCATAGTGCTATGGTCTCCATGGAGCTCAAAGTATTTCACAGACCCCAGCCTCTGTCCCAGTGACAGGTATGTGTGCATGAGAGTCCTCGGGTAGGAATCTTTGTTTTTCAGAAGAATTGAGGCTGGTAGTACAGGGGCACAGCCCACCAGACAACCAACAGCAGTATCTCCCTCAGAATTCTGGGCTATGAGTGCTTTCTTCACCCACTGTTTTGTTTCTCTAGGGCTGCTCCAACAGAAAACTCACAAGTAGATGACTTTAACAAACAGGGGTTTCTTCTCTTATGGTTCAGGAGGCTAGAAGTCTGAGTTCAGAGTGCCAGCTCTAGGGGCTGGGAATGCCCTTTGACCTTGGGCTTCAGCTCTGCCTCTTGCTCCTGGCCCACGAAGCTGGAGGCTTCTCTTAGGCAGCTGCTAGCTGCTGTGCTGAGGCTGACAAATCCATGGTCGACAAGTAAAATGGCACAGTCCCCAAATTCCCACATGAAATGGCAGGCCACTAGTTAAAACAGTCCCAAGATTGGCAGACAGCATGACAGACCGCTGATGACTCAGCCAAATGGAGGATCCAGATGTGCCGAGAAGCTAGAGACCTTTCTGAAAGTTGCTTCTTATGCACTGGAAGCAGACCACATCCGTAAGGCAGCTACTTAGCTGCTCTGGCAGATTGCCCCGTGGAGATTACCAGTGTCATCATGGGGAATGACCCCATCCAGCTGCCCAGCCACGCAGCAGCAGGCCCAGCCACGTTGACACCCAACCTGAGCTCCCACACCCGCTGAGTGAACAGAGCTGCCCTCTCAGTGTCCTCCAGGTTCCAGGCCCTCAGCTGCCCAGGGATGAGCTCATTCCTGTTTCGTGTTTGCGCTTTATCCAGGGCAGCTGCTCCCTGACTTCTCTTCTTTCCCTTGAAAGGAGCAAGAGAAGTCAGAGAAGATATCCAGGAGAGTCAGCGCAGTGGAGGAAGTCCGCAGCCACGTCAAGGTGCTGCAGGAGATGCTCAGTGTGTACCGCCAGCCGGGGCAGGCCCCGCCAGACCAGGAGGCCCTGCAGGTGATCCCCACAAGAGTCTTATATGGGAAGAACTGACATGGTAAACTGCACGTATTTAAGTGGCTCATGCTTTAAACCTGAGTTTTGAATTTGGGAGGGATTAGAGGACCCTAAGGAGCCCTGGTGGCACAGTGCCTAAGGCATCTGACTGCTAACCAGAAGGTTGGCAGTTCAAACCCACCAGCCACCCCAAGGAAGGAAGACTGGGCAATCTACTTCCGTAGATTTACTGCCTCGGAAACCCAAAAGGGGGTCACTATGAGTTGGAATTGCCTTAATGGCAGTGAGTTTGGTTTTTGGTTTGGTAGAGGACCCTGGAGGCCCCAGACCCTGATACATGCTTGATTGGAAGCACCTGAGACCTCACTGTGGGTCCCAGGTGTATGTTGTCAAACTTAGCTCTTTTCCCAGGTGGTGTACGAAAGGTGTGAAAAGCTGCGGCCTACACTGTTCCGTCTGGCGAGTGACACCACAGATGACGATGACGCACTTGGTAACACTTTTGAAAATTGTCCTCAGCCAGATATCAGCCTAGAGTGTTGGGCACCCTGAACAGGCATGGTTCTTCCTGTTGTGTGGTGGTGGTACCAGGAGCAAGAACAGGGGCCTTTAGGGTTTACGGTGACTGGGCTTGGGAAGGGCATGACCTGCTTTGACATAGAACTGATTTCCAGAAAACCAAGGCTTGAGCATGAAATCGACAGAAAATCTAAAAGGGTAGGAAGGGGTGGAAACTTACCAGGTGGGTTAGGTGTGAGAAGAGCACTGAGGAGGAGAGACCACAGGGGTCTAAGAGCGGCTGGCTGATGCAAGTGGAAGAACTCACCAACTTAATTGCCTACAGGGCCAGGTAAGTAACCAGCGTGAGGAAGGCTGATGGGGCGTGGTTGGGTCTATATACGCACACTGTCGAGTCAGATCCGACGCATAGCGACCCCTCCTTGGGTTTCCAAGGCAGTATCACTACGGAAGTAGATTGCCCTTCTTTCTCAGGAGCGGCTGGTCGATTTGAACCGCCAGCCTTCTGGTTAGCAGTCAAATACCTTATGCACTCTTTTAAAACTTTTATTATGGAAAATCTCAAAATATATAAAAAGTGGAATAGTAGAATAAATCCCATGTACCTTTCACCCTTTAACAGTTACCAACTCACGGCTCGTCCTCCGATCTTGTGTTCATGGGTACCCTTCTCTTCTTCCAACCATCCCTAAACCAAACAGCCAAACCAGTCGTCCTCAATTCCAACTCATGGTGACTCTGCGAACGGCAGAGTAGAACTGTGCTTCCCGGGGTTTTCAGTGGCTGATTTTTCAGTGGATTGCCAGGCCTGTCTTTCCAGGTGTCCCTCCAGCCTTGAGTTAGCCTTGAGTTCCAGTGAACTTGAATCTCCAGCCTTGAGTTAGCTGCTGGGCACATGAGCCATTTACATCATCTGGAACTCCCCACCTCGGTCTGTTTTGAAGCAAATTCCAGACATTTCCAAATTTATCACGTGGTCTGTCAGTGTTTAGATATCTGGTTCCTTTCCTGCTCTCTTGCTTGTTGTCCTTACACTTCTAATCAGACAAAAGAGAAGACATACTTTGTTACTGGGCATTGTCTTTTAAATAGCTTTTAATTCATACATTTCCCCTGTCCCACCCCCATGTGTCTTTAAAAAAAAAAAAAAAACAAACTTGCCAGTATTTGTTGGTTGAATTCAATCCCCGGTTGCCAGTTTGCAGTCTCTGTCCCACAGTGAAAAAACTTGCGGGAGATAAGCTAAGCGGTTGGT